GGTGAGCGGCTGCCGGCTGAGGGCCCCGAGCAGCCGACCCCGGGGGCCAATCCCGGCAGTGGTGAGGACAGGAGGAGCCCGTCGCCTCGGGCCAAGCGAGACAAGGAGCTGTGGCACCAGAAATCATGCCATGGGAACTGTGAGCCGGGTGAGCAGGATGGGGCAGGAGGCGGCACTGAGGACAGGGCGCGGATGAGGCAGAGCCAGCGGCGCAGCCGGCACCGCAGAGCCCGGATGGAGGGGAAGGAGCCAGCCGGCGCTCTGGGGAGCCGCTCGGCCAGCCAGGAGATGGGTCTGGAGGAGGCCAGCCCCACAGAGGGGGCGCAGGATGGGGACCAGTGCGGCGATGCAGCCTCAGCGGAGGCACTGATTCAGGGGGAGCTGGAGGCGAGCGGAGAGCCCGTCAGGTTGGTACTCAGGGAGGGCATCTTGCATTTCCCACGGCTCCTTGTCCCCTCCCCTTATCTTCTTGCACCTCTTTTCATCCCACCTCCCTCCCCCAGGACAAACGGGGTCCCTGCTGGCGATGCCGAGCTGGTTGGGACCACTGAGGAGGGGAGCCCCCTGCAAGCGGCGCCCGAGCCCCCCCGGCGGAAGACGGGCAGCCTGACGGAGCAGGACTGCAGCAGCCTGGACACCAGCGAGCAAGCGCTGCTGGAGGCCAGCCGCACTGTCAGCCGGAGCGAGCCCGACCTCTCTTCTGTCACCCCCAACACCGAGAAGGCCACAGAGAGCACCACCATCATGATCGATGTCCACGACTCTGCTGTGGTACAGAGTGAGGACCCATCTCTCTTTCCTGAGCCCCTCTCCTGGCCCTCGGTGACTCTGGGGTGGGATGGAAAGCCGCTTGCACGGCTTTTCCTATTAGTATCCATCAACTGGGGGGCTTTCCTTGCTGCTTCTTGCAGCACCTCTCTCCAGCACTCCAGTTTTGCAGGGGAGCCCGAACGCAGTGCTGATGTGCCACTGTCCCCTGGGGAGCTTCTCCCTTTCTTCCCTCCTTCCCACCTGCCCCTTTGCCTGATCTCTCCTTCCCTCTTCCTCCCTGCCCAGGCAAAACACTCACATTCCCTGTTTTTCCTAACACATCCGTAGCCCCCGCCCAGCTTGCTGCCACTCAAACCCCTTAACAGCATCCTCGCTGTCAAGGTGAGCTGCTTTAAATGGTGTTATTAATTAAACAGCACCGTGAAAGCTGGCCTTGTTAAAACCTCTTTCGTCTGCTTCATCCCGGCAGCTTGTGTCTTTTCTTCCCTTCTGGTTCCTCTCCCTGTAATGGCACGGGGATGCAAATCAGAAACCCGGGGGGGTTGCACGTGCCTGGGTGGCAGGGACACCCCAGGGTGCTGCCAGGGTCCAAGACCAGGCAAAGGCTCTCGCTTTCCTGCAGTTAGCAACAAGACAGATGGCGAAGCCAGCCCCTTAAAGGAGGCCGAGGCCAAAGAGGATGAGGAGGAGATGGAGAAGAAGAAGCGGAAGAAGGAGAAAAGTGAGACGGGCAAAGCGATGGTGCCGCACAGCTCCATGTTCATCTTCAGCACCACCAACCCGTGAGAGATTTTTTGGACCATAGGAGCCCGGGGCTGGGGAGGGCTGCAAGGGGAAGGACCCTTAGATGTCACTGAAAACCAGCGACCCCCCTTGGGAAGGGGGCTGTATATCTCCCAAAGAGCCTGGATAACCAGCCACAGTGTTCCCCAAGCCCAGGGACCATTCTCCCTCTGTGCCAGCAACGCTCGTGGCTTTCTCTTCCGACTGCTGATTGCTAGCTGTGATTTTTATTCAATGTTTGTTGCATTTTTCTGCAGTTGTCTGCTCCCCTGTAGATCTTGCCCAGCTCCAGCAGCCTGGAAGAATAAGCCCCCCAATTTCTCAGGGACTCTCCCTGGCTGGCCACAGGGTGTCCGGGGGTCTGGGACAGCCAAGCAAAGGGGTCAGCAAGCCCAAACCACCCTCGGGCTCCCTTGTTTTGCTCCTCAGACTTTGCTGCCCATCTTTCTGCTCTGGAAGCTGGCGATGTGGGGTCGGTTTTGCACGTGGGCCATGCCTGGGGCATGCCAGGGGCTCACAGGTCGGGGTGCGGGCTGTCTCCCTGCAGGGTGCGGAGGGCTTGCCACTACATCGTGAACCTGCGCTACTTCGAGATGTGCATCCTCCTGGTGATTGCCGCCAGCAGCATCGCCCTCGCGGCGGAGGATCCTGTCCTTACCAACTCCGACCGCAACAAAGTGATTGCAAACCTCCCCTGCTCCCCCCATCCCACAGGCAGAGGTCCTGTAGGATTTTAGCTTCCATGGTGGGGCACATGTGGGACATGGATCAGGGCAGCTGGTGGCAGCGCTTGCACCATGCCATGGGATCTGACTTCTCCCTCCATTGCCTTCCTTTATAAACCCTGGAAATCCCTCTCAGCCTCCCACACACGGGGTTTAGAGGCTGGGGAGCCGACCAGGGTGCCTTGTTGATAGTAAAGTAGCTTAAACCTGGGAGATGCTGATGTGCACAGGGAGTGGTATGGGGGAGCATGATTTCAGCTTGCAGCATGATTTCAGAGCTGCTTGCACCATGCACGGAGAATGTTTCTTTCCTGCCTACGCAGGCTGGGTTTATGGCTGTCCTGAACTCTTAGGTGACAGGCTGGGTTTGGGGCAAGCAAAACTGACCCTCCGTTTGCACCTGAGCCAGGCGAGTGCTGGGTGCGGGGCAGAAACAGGGTCTGGGTGGGTGCCAGTGAGCCCGTCTGCTTGGCAGCGGCTGCAGAGTGCCTGTGCCCTCTCTCTGCAGGTCTTGAGGTATTTTGACTATGTCTTCACTGGCGTCTTCACCTTCGAGATGGTTATCAAGGTAAGAGCCTTTGCAGGGCTGCGCTGGGGGTGCCGAGTCCCGCAGCGTCCTTGCAGCGGGTAGGAAATAGCTGTTTTTCGGTTCTGGTCCTAAATTTGGATGATGAAGACTTTAAAGGCTGGTTCTTAGCGCTGGGAGTCGAGAGTGCTCAGCACCAGGCTCCCAAAATATGATGCTCTTTGATATATACCTGGGTCGCAGGGACAGGTCCGCTGCTCCCCAGCGATGTCCCTATCCCCAGCACATCCCACCTACAGCTGCTTCCACTTGATGGCCGAGCTGCTCATTCCCTGCCTGTTTTTCTCACCATTTCCCCCCCGCAGATGATTGATCAGGGCTTGATCCTGCAGGATGGTTCCTACTTCCGAGACCTCTGGAATATCCTGGATTTCATCGTGGTGGTGGGAGCGCTGGTGGCTTTCGCCTTGGCGTAAGTGGCTGTCATCCTTGTCAGCTCTTTGCCTTCCCTTGGCTGGGGAGGGAGGAGGATGCAACTGTGTGTTATGGCTACTAGACCCCGATTTTTTTTTTTTTAATTTCTCTGCACCCTTCTGCTCTGCTTCTGGGATGGCTCCTGGCAGTGGTGCGCAGCTGCTCCAGAGATGTATTTCTCCTTGTTTGTCAAATGCTGGTGAGCAAGCAGGCAGGGGGCAAGGCAAGGCAAGCTGGAGATGCTAGGAAGAGATTGGTGGTGAAAGTGAACTTGAAAGAGGGCAGAAGGGGCTGTTAGAGAGGGAAAAAGACCTAAGGCTGACAGAGCTGGAGTTATATGCCTGCTACGCATCCCGGGGCACACAGAGACAGCAAAAGCAGCAGCCTGCCAGGTGGAGCTGCCCTCTGAACGTGTTTGTGCTGGAAATGGTACCCCCAGCCGGTGGCTTTTCCTCTGCTCCAAGGGGGAGCATTGCCCCGAAGCCCTGCAGGGATGGGGAGGCAGCCAGTGGGGTTTGTGCCTGCATCCTCTGCAGCATCATGCTGAGGGCAGGGTGCTGTGTGCTTGCTCTGCAGCGTGTTCCTGCTGAGCATCACCTTGCAGGTGGGCTCTGGTACCGAGCTTGTGACACCTGGGGGTCCTCCTCTGCAGGTAGGTGCAGGGTGGCTCAACGTCTGCAGTGCCCATGCCATGGAGGGGAGAAGTGTCCAGGGATGAGTTTCATGCTGCTCTGCCCTCCTCTGTGCTGCTGGCTGGGGCAGGCAGTGCAGTGTAAGCTTGAGGAGGGGACAAGTGGGTGCCAACGTAATGCTGCCCCTGGTCCCCAGGGCCGTGGTGCCCCGTTGGTGCTTGAGGAGGAAGAGGAGAAGAAAGGAGGGGCTGGCACTCCTTTGTCATGCTGTTGTTCTCTCTTTGTGCCTTTGACACTGGTGGCAGTGGCGTTAGTGCTGGTGAGAGGGGAGGGCTTGGCAGCAGCGCATACTGGAGCCCTGTCCTTGTCCATGGCTCTCAGGTACCATGCGAGGCTCTCGGGGTGGCTGGCTCCGAGTCCTGGGGTCACTTGATGGATTACAGCCCATAATCCATCCCTCCCATCTCACCCCTGGCCAGGCGGCAGCTCCTTCCCTTCACTCTCACCCACTTGCACCTTCCCTTGCTCGTTGCTTTTGCCTTCCTCACCTTCCTCACCCCCTTCCTTGCCTAGTGCTTTCATTCGCTGCTCTCTCCTTGGGAAGAGCACGGGAGAATTCAACTCACTCGGCAGAGGGATGAACCAGCCCCTGGGCAGGGCAGGGGGCTGACCGCAGACCCTGGCATGGGGAAGGGGCACAGGACAGGTCTGCTGGCTGAGAACATTGCTCTGAGCCTCCAGGAGGCCACCTAGGCCACCATGAGGATGGACTGAGTATCTCCAGAGCCTGGCTGATCCCTCCTCTGCCAGGGCAGCCCTTCAGAGCATGTCCGGAGCAGGGGGCTCAAGGGCATCAGCAGCCTGAAGATGTGCTGGGTGGTTTGAGGGGTTTAGGAGGACAAGGGAGCCTTTTCCTTCCAAGGCATCTTTCATCAATACTTTTTGATGGCTGAAGGAGGGAAGGTTGATGGCTCAGCCCGCTCCCAGGTGGTTGGGTGTCCTCGCTCCCACTAACAGTACTGTAATCGGCACTTGCTGTCCCCTTGCCTCCACCCCACAAAGGTGGTGGCATGGTTCCTGGAGTGGCCCCTGGAGCTGGCAGGGTCCCCACGTGCCAGTGCCGAGGACATGGGGAAGCTGCCTTGCCCCTTCCAACCCCGCTTGCCACTTGCCTGCCTCCACCCAGCCTCCCAAGGGAAGGACAGGTCCCTTTGGGCACAGGGCAGCTGAATTCTTGCAGGCAAGGACCCCCATCGGCTGCGGCACCAAACCCCCTCACATGGAGAGGGTCTTTGCATCTCCACGTATGTTTGCAGCAAGCATCTATGTCGCCTGCCTACTCTTGTAGCTGTAGCTGGGTAGATACTGAGTTGCTTGTGTCGTGGATGAGGGCTCTTTATCATGTAAACCTGCAGGATTGTCCCTCTCCCCCATGTCCAATGGTGGCTTCTGCTGGAGGAGATGATCTCATGGCTTCAGGGGTGAGCGGAACAAAGGAACTGCAGCGATTTCCGATGGGTTTATACATTATAAAGCATTTATAAGAACACCTGCCTCTCCCCTTGGCAGCCTATCACTGCCGTGGCCCCGGGAGCCACAGGATGTTCGCCAGCTATAAATGTCCCAACCTGCAACGCTCCCTCCCTCCATCCTCGTCTGGAGAGGAAAACTCTGGAGGTGACATCTGAATCCCTCTCCTTTTCTTCTCCCTTCATGAGCTCTTTGATGTGGGGCTGGGGGGGCGATGTGTCCTCCTTCTCCCCCTCCTCGCCTCCATGGCGCTGGGTGGGCAAAGCCATGCCCACAGAGCAGCTGCGGCAATTACGTGGCTGAGAGTGGCTGGTGACCAGGTCCAGGACTTGCCAGTAGAAGAAGTGCTGGGACACACCATGCCATTCGGGTTTTCTGCCCTTTTTGCCTCCCTCTGCGGTTCGGTTTTCCTGCGGGGGGTCCTGGGTAGCCGTGGGCGCAGCAGAAGGTCTCTGAGCTGGTCCAGCGGTGCCACCATCATCTGCTGGACATCAGTGCCACATCAAAATCATCAATGAGCAAGTGTCCACCTGTGAAGCCGTGTCTCCATGTGCCATCATGTCTTGTCCACTGCCCCCTTGGAGCCCGTACATCCTGAGCAAGAGGTCATCTTGGCTCATCTGTAGCTCTCTGCGTGGAAAGCTAATAAGTCAATCCAAATGCAGCCTAAATAAAAAGCCCAATATAAAACTGTAAATCTCCAAAGAGTTCAAATTAAATTAGCTGAAATAACCAGAACCATAACTAAAGACTCTGCTGGCTTTTGCCTCCTGTGGCACCCTCCGAGGAGGCATTGTGCAGAGGAGCAGCGCTTGCTTGCAGCTTTGCAGAGCTGCCGAGAGGTGGTGATGCCTATGCCTGCGGGCTTCCAGCAGCAGGAAAGGTTGAGCGGTGGAAAGGTTGAGCAGTGGTCAGTGCGTAGCCCTCGTCGTCTCACCTGGTCAACAAGGGCAGGAGTTTCTCCACCCAGAGGTACCCAGCAGAGCTGCCTCTTTCTTTGCGGAGTAGCATCTCCTTATGCTTGTCGGCACCGGTGTCTGGAAGCAAGAGGGACCCCTACGTACTGCGAAATAACCTGGTGTGAGGCTGGTCAGGACAGAGGTCTGATATCCCATCACAGAGGTGCTGCAGAGTTAAACTATCACCTTTTCAACACACCTTCCACCTGTTTCACTAACATGCAGCCAGGGTCTGGGGTTATTTTTATGGTTTTTAAGAAATGTTTTACTTCGTAGGCTTGCCCCCAGTGCTGAGCCCTCTGTGTGCACGTGGCAGGGACTGAGCTGAATCAGGGATGGAGGTTTGGTTACAACTAGGGACCTTGTAGACCACCTTGGCTTGTCTGAGTGGGTGTCCTGCTGGGTTGCAGGAGATCCTGTGCTGCAGTTCAGGCTCTTAATCAGTGGATTTCTTGATGGAAATGATTTACTAAAGTTAGCCTGTCTGGATGGGAACTACAGCCTTGCAGGTATGTTCCCTCAGAGGCACCTGCCTTTGGCTGGTTGGAGCCAAGCCTCAAGGTCCCTCCCCGATTCCTGGCCGAGGAGGACCATGTGCCCACCCGCTGTCACTGACCGTCCCGCTCTCCGCGGGTTCTTCTTGCAGCAGAGTTTTCACTACGCACCCCTCTCCCAAAACCTCCAGCAGGGAGGGCAGGGGCTCCCAGCTCACTGGATGAGTCTCTCCATGCAGATGAGCCCCATCCTGGAGGACACAATGTGGTCTAATCACTGTGCCTTTCAACCCAGGTGTGGTGTGGTGGAGTGCTGCCTCAGGGTCCCTGCTGCCTGAGAGGAGGCGGTCATCCCCACACAGCTCCCCACTGCTTTTCTTACCTTCTTCCTCTCTTCTCTCTTTTTTCCTCTCTCCGTTGGTGCTGTTTGGTGGCTGCCGGGCTGGATCGCTGACAGGAATGCTTTGGGGTAACTATGCCGTTCGGGTCGCTGCGGGGTGCCGCCCTGGGGAGCGTGGGGGGATGGGCACAGGTGGGTGTCTGTCTGTCTGACACCTGTGCTGACCCTTAGCTGCGTTTGCAGAGACTGGAGTACGTTGCTCTGCACACACACCTACATTGCCCCAGATGCATTAAAGGTGGTGTGCTCCGGGAAAGTGCAGGCGGGATTTTTCTTTGCAAGCACTGCAGTCCCTTGCCTTTGAAGGAGGGTGCTTTCATCCTGGATCTCGGTGTCTGTGCAGTACCCTGAGATGGTGTGAAGCACACCCAGGGGAGCAGGGCACGGGGAAAGTGGTGTCTGCCGCAGAGCTGAAGGCTCTGCCCCAGCAGGGGCTTTGCCTGCACTGAAGTGCTGCAGGGACTTCAGCTCTGATGTCCTCCAAGGGCATGGGATGTGGTTCATGCCAAGCTCAGGGGGCTGGGGAGAGCTCAGCCTCGGCCGTAGAGACAGCAAAGCCAGGCTTTCCTCCAGGCATTATCCAGCTCTATGTCCCATATCCATGTTGGATCCCAAGCAAATCCACAGGAGGTTTCCTGAGGTCTGAAGAGGTCCCTCCTCAGCAGATGTAAACCACTGCAGCTGAGTTGCCCTTGATGGCAGCTTGCACCAGCTGAGTGCTCCCCTCAAATCCTCACCCCAGCCCCGAGTCGGATGCCCCAGCCCTGAGTTGGATGCCCCAGCCACTTACCCACACCCTGATACTGAGCAAAGCAGGAGACAGGCGGTGCAAAGTGAGTCCCAGGGCTGTTTGTACAGTTGCTTCCCGTGCATTTGTGGGGCTGTGCTCCTAGGGAGGACTATTAATTAGTGATTTTGTTTACATCTCTTAATGATTAAGCCCATTATTGTGCTCCCTGTTGCATTAACCCTCGCAAAGGAGCTGTATAATTTGGAGCATCTGTTGTCGTAAGTCATTTCTTTGACCTTTTTTGAGTGTGCATGGTGGATCCAAACTGTGCCACCTTCACCAGGACCTCTCTGGTGAATCCCATCCTGGGATCCAGCCCATGGGCTCTAGTTAAAAGACAAGAAAAAAACCTGGTATTGTGGTTGGGATTAATCGTCATATTCAAGAAATGAGGGTCACAAGGGGGCTTTTCTGGATAATTCTACTGGTAAGCTCTACCTCTCTCAGCTGACTTGGGGTGGAGGCAAGTGCAGCCCTGATCTGGAGAGGGAAGAGAGGGCTGAGATGTTACATGCATGTGAGATAGAGGAGCAGGCTGACCGTGTTGGGTAGCACTGATGGAATAAGGCAGAAAGCTGTAAGAGACAGCATTTGTGTGAACAAACCAAGCACAGAGCAGGTGCTTCCGTAGGTAACGTAAGGGCCATGAATCTCGAGTTCAAACCAGGGTGGAAAACCCTTTGTGAGACACCTGCATGTAGACCCCATTGAGTGCATCTTCCTCATTTTATTATGAATTTCTTGCAACCAGTAGTAATGGTAGAAAATAATTTGCAATGGTGGGTGCCTTTTGCAAGCCCTGTCTGCAAATGGCACATGCCTGCAGTAGGGAAGCAAACCTTCTGGCCCTGTTGAGTGGCGTGGCTTGGGGACATGGGGGAGGGCAGCGTGCCACAGCACCCTTCGGGCAGCTGCCCTTGCTCAAGGAGAGCACTGCATCGCCTGCCCCAGCCCTGGCATCTCACTGCTTCCCACAACGAGGGGATTTGTTAAGGTCGCTGCTCCCCAGCAAAGGGGAAAGGTGCTAATCCCGAGGAGGAAAGGATTGCTTTATTTTTCATCTCTGCCAGCTGTCAGCGTGTGTGTTGGAGAAGACTTGTTTAGGTGGGCTGAGTGCTCAGCAGTCACATGTTTGTGGCCCTCCTGTTCCCATCCTCACATGTGCTGGGGGGGGTTGTCAGCAGCTGAAACCCCCAGAGCATCCAGCCTCAGGTCTGCAAGGTTATTGTCTCTCCGTTTCATTTTTGGGTGCGTGTGCCTCCCTCCGACACGGTAGGACCAACAAGGGCCGGGATATCAAGACCATCAAGTCTCTCCGTGTGCTACGGGTCTTGAGGCCCCTGAAAACCATCAAGCGACTGCCCAAGCTGAAGGTAATGATCCCCATTTATCTCCTGCCTTACATTTGTCTTCTCCAGTGTGGACCGGTGGGTGCGGGGACCACGTGCATCGATTTACTTGTGAGCAATGAACAAGTAGTTTTCAAAGCATTTGCTGTGTTTTAGGAGCCCCATTTTCAAACACAACAGCCTTCAGGCTGCTTCATATCTGGAGGTGCAATGAGTTATTAAAAGCAAGCCTGGATCTCTGCAAGGTGTCAGAGAGTTCCTCTGCCAGGGAAAGTGGGGCTGGAGTGGACATGAGACAACAAAGCCCAGATACTCTCCTGATAAAATAGGCTGCCCTGGCTTTGGGACAGCTCAAATCTCTTTCCAAAGTTCATTATCTTTCCCACCAGAGCAGCTTGCAAACAACTAGGGATTTTGTGTGCTGTGCTGTCATGGTGTTGCACTGGAGGGGGATTTCCCATCTGAATAGAGGGATTATTTATGCAGCACAGGTAGCATTATGGATTTCCCTACCTTAGCCGATGGGGTATAGAGCCAGAAAGGAGTAAGAGACCGAGGAAGCCCTGAGTTTTTTTCACAAGGCGGTATTTGGCTAATGGATGAGGCCCAGGGTGGCACCCCAGAGACATGAGTTTTGACCCCAGCTGTTCTTCCCAATCAGTGGATGGATTCAGCCCATGTCAGTTCATTTCTGGACACCTCTGTCTTCACCATGAAGCAGAGATAAGGACATTCCTCTCTTTCTTAAAGTGCTGTGAGAGCTAGGGCTGAGAGCACAGCCTGGGGAGGAGCTGCTATTGCAGGCAGAGGCATTCACTCTGCCTTGTTATTCAGGGTGATGCAAAACAAAGAAGTGTTTACTAATTGGTCTTGGGTGCTGCTAATTGCATCATCAGGGCCGTTCCCTGTCTGCTGCCCTGGTTGCAGAGAACATTGGAGGATATAAATATCCATCCCTGCTGCTGTCTTAGGGGCTGCTCGGTGTCCGTGTGTGTGCTGGGGGGGGTACTCCAGGTGTTAAACTTGCTCAAAAAGTAGCCCTTTGCCTGGGAGAAGGCCCAGCTCTTTCCTCCTTTCCACCCCAGGAGTGGGAAATGTCTTTCCCCATGGTAGTCTTGAGTAAGGTTTTGGTCCTGCCCTTTGCCAAGGCTGTTGGTTCCCCAAAGTAAGCTATGCCCTCTCCTGCAGGCCGTCTTCGACTGCGTGGTGACTTCCCTCAAGAACGTCTTCAACATCCTCATTGTCTACAAGCTCTTCATGTTCATCTTTGCTGTCATTGCCGTCCAGCTCTTCAAGGGGAAGTTTTTCTACTGCACTGACAGCTCTAAGGACACGGAGAAGGACTGCATGTAGGTGCCCTGTTCAGTAGGTCCGATGCTGCTGACACCTCTGGCAAAGGCAGGGTGCTGGGTAATGTCATCTTTGGGTTCCCAGTTAAGTCCTTGGTCACGACTCGCTCTTGGCCATAGTCTCTTGAGGTTGACAGCATGGGCTGAATCCTGTCCCCATTGCTGTGTCAGCGCTATGCATCCTTGCATGGGACGCAGGATGCAGAGCCCTGTATTTTGGTCCTGTTCTCTTTCCTTCTTCTGTCTTCCCTTTTGCTTTCCTCTTCTCTCCTTTCCCCCAGTTGTTATCCAGCCTTTTCCCATTTCTCCCTCCAGCCCCGCAGGAGAGATGCCCCCACACACCACGCACACACGCTGCCCCCAGGGTTTAAAACCACTGTCTCATAGTCTGGCAGCATAAAAAGCAAAGTCACTGCTCTCTCTCAACGTTGCAGAGGGAACTACGTGGACCACGAGAAGAACAAGATGGAAGTGAAGTGCCGGGAATGGAAACGCCATGAGTTTCACTACGACAATATCGTCTGGGCTTTGCTCACCCTGTTCACAGTCTCCACCGGCGAGGGTTGGCCCCAGTGAGTATTCTGCTCTATCCACCCCCCTTGAATTAGGGTGGGCATGTCCCCGTTGGGGTGGGGTGGGACTGAGAGAGAAACTGCTGGGCAGGGAGGAGGAGAGGAAGGACGAGAAATTATGTCAGGACAAAAGAGCTTTAGCCCCCATATGAGGCTGGGACTGTGGCTGGGGTTACCTTCTTCCTTAGGGAGTAAATGATGGATAATCCTTTCTCCTGCGTGGCCCTGAGGTATATCTTAGCTCAAGTTTAGAGATGACCATAGGACTAGCCCTTTCTTCATGCTCATGTGAGCTTGGGCAATTTTTTTCTCTGTATGTGGAGCACTGGAAAATCCATTTTCCATCAGGGACACAGGCAAAGCACCATAAAACAAGCTGTAGCCACTTAGAAGGGTTGTCCTTGTAAAGCAGATTAAGACAGAGGTTTATCTTATCATTGTTACAACTGTGGACAGATAGAGCTGACTGTACAAAGTGGGTCCCGTGAGAAGTGTCACGTGGTGACAGTCCTGATGTGCATATCTCTGGTTGCTTTTCTTCACCTGTCTGCCCACAGGGTGCTGCAGCATTCGGTGGACGTGACAGAGGAGGATCGTGGGCCCAGCCGCAGCAACCGCATGGAGATGTCCATTTTTTATGTCGTCTATTTTGTGGTCTTCCCTTTCTTCTTTGTCAATATTTTCGTGGCTCTCATCATCATTACGTTCCAAGAGCAAGGAGACAAAATGATGGAGGAGTGCAGTCTGGAGAAGAATGAGGTACGGTCTGGGGAGGGGGAAAGAGGACATTTCCATGGGTTTTCTGCAGTTTGGGAGCTTGGAGCTCCCTAGATGTTGAAAAGGTGTAAGAAACCTGTGAGCCACCTGCCTGCCCAGCCCATGAAGGAAAGAGGTGTGGCAGCCACCGTGCCCCACGTTACCATCGGCCAGGGGCTGATGCACGTTATTTTATTCCAGAGGGCCTGTATTGACTTTGCCATCAGTGCCAAGCCCCTCACGCGGTACATGCCCCAGAACCGGCACACCTTCCAGTACCGGGTCTGGCACTTTGTGGTCTCCCCATCCTTCGAGTACACCATCATGGCCATGATAGCGTTGAACACCGTGGTGCTGATGATGAAGGTGAGCCAGTCAGAGGGAGCCTGTCCTGTTTGGGGCAGTGGGGAGAAGGAGGATCGGTCAGGATGGGATTGGAGGGTATTTTGGTTGTTTCTAGGAGATGCTTTGATACAGAGTCTGAGCATGTATTCCCTTGGCATAGTCACTTGAAACACCACATGCCCCAAACTGGAGGTGAGATCTTCCCTAAACGAGATGACCCAAACGATCTGGACCTCTTAACTACTGCAGAAGGATCTGGATTTACTCTGTGCTTCCTTCTCAGAAGGAGTGGCAGCTGTCCTGGGAGAGGGGTGGAGAGGGGAAGGAGGAGATGGTCTTGAGGCACCCACGGCAAGGAACATGGACCACCGCAGGCCTTTCCTGGGACAGTCATCAGCCAAGAGGCTGGCAGGCCCCCTCCTGGCTAGCTATGTCTGTCTCTTTCCAACAGTACTACTCTGCTCCATACACCTATGAGCTGGCCCTGAAGTACCTAAACATCGCATTCACCATGGTGTTCTCCTTGGAGTGCGTCCTCAAGATCATTGCTTTTGGCTTCCTGGTGAGTCGCTGCTCAAGTTCTAGATGAGGATGTTAATTTGGACTTTGGCAGCACACAGGTCACAGAGGGAAGGTGTTAATAATGTGAGGTTGTTGCTATTTATTTTGGGTCGAGCCTGAGAGCTGCTTTTAGGTTGAAATCACTTCTTTGGTTCTCATTAAACTTCCCACTGCTGGATGCTGGTGGGGGAAGCCACACCGTTGCTTTACTTTTTGCCTTGTTTCTGTGGTACTTTGGTGCCTGGACCACATATATGCTGTGCAGCCGCTCTGCTAAAGCCAAGTGCTGCTGCGATCATGCTGGTGGCTGCAGTCTCGTGTCCCTGGGAGCCACGAGATGCTGGTGCATTGCTGTCCTTGGGCTGTATCAGTTGGACCAGACCTGACCAGCAGTGAGACCTCCCTGCCTAATTCACAGTCCTCAAGTCCCCAGCTGCTCATTTAAGATTTGAAGCCACGGACTGCCTTTTCTTCAGCTACTCTTTGCTGCTTATGAGCAACTGTTGGATTTGCTCTTTTATAGTTTCTTTCCTGTTTCTAACCCATACTGGGAGATGAGGTCCACTAGCAGGATGGTTTCTAGCCACCCTCCCTGCTCCCAGCAGACAGCCATGGTCAAGTCCAGTCTTGCACCAGCTGCTGCACAAACAGCAGGGGCTGAGGTGGGTCTGGGTGCCCACAAAGAGGAGGGCAAAGCAGCCTTGTGGCTGTGAGGGACGGCATGATGAGCTGTAGCAGCCTGACCAGGGCTGGCTGTGGCCGCTTTTCCCACTCCTGTTCACCAGGGTGGCCTGTTGGATGCGTGAGTCATCTCCCAGGAGAAGCAGCTCACTGCAGACACGCTTAGGTCTGCCACCATCTCAGACGCAGCACGGTGCTCCAGACTACGGCTGCATACAAATGGGCAGCAAGGTCTCTGCCACCGCTGCTGTTGTCCATGAGCAGCCTTGGCCTGTGGCCCAGTGCCCTTCAGACCTGGCATCACTGAGTTCAAATTCAGGTTCTCTCTCTCCTTCCTTTTGCAGAATTATTTCCGGGACACCTGGAACATCTTTGACTTCATCACCGTCATCGGCAGCATTACAGAGATCATCCTGACGGACACCAAGGTGAAGCAGGGGCTGGGAGCAGTGGGGTGAACTGCTGTGGGGTGGGGGACTCCCACTTCCCTCTGACCCTCTCATCTCCTCCCAGCTGGTGAACACCAGCAGCTTCAACATGAGCTTCCTGAAGCTCTTCCGGGCTGCTCGGCTCATCAAGCTGCTGCGCCAGGGTTATACCATCCGCATCCTGCTCTGGACGTTCGTGCAGTCCTTCAAGGTAAGTCACATGTGTCCTGGCCTCCTCCCAGGCCACAGTGCTGGGGTGCTGCTCCCAAATGCAGGCTGTTCCCAAGGTCTTGCTGACTTGTTGGCTTGTAGGAGAGACGGATCAGCACAGCTTACCTGCTCGCTGTGCTTTTTGTACTCGTCTGGAGCTGGACCTGTGCTAAGTGAGATGACTCATCTGCTTCTCTTGCAGGCTCTCCCCTACGTCTGCCTTTTGATAGCCATGCTTTTCTTCATCTATGCGATCATTGGGATGCAGGTGAGCACAGACATCTCAGTGTGCATCTCTCTGGTGCAGACAGGCTGGACCAGCATGTCCTCAGCATTATGCACAGCAGCCAGCCTTGTGCTTGCCCGTCATTGCTTCACTCAGTCATGGTGTCCGGGAAGGTTCCGAGGGTGGAACAGCTTGTTTGGGAGCTGCAGAGTCACATGCCCTGGTGGAGCTGCCATGGGCTTGTTCAGTCAAGCTCCACAGCTGCCTTCCCAACTTGTACCCTTGGAGATGTGGCCTTGGGGACTCAGCTGGGCACGCTGTGTGGTGGCGGCTTTCAAATCGCCACCCCTTTGTTTAGAAGTTACACCCTATCTCCAACTCCCTAGCAGCCCCCAGAGATTGATTTCATGCCTAAGGGACCTGGTGAGCAGCATTCTGCCTTTCCCATCCGAATGGCTGGATCACGGTGGTGATCCCTGCAGCCCACTGTCCACCATGTCCCTCTGTGGAGGGTTTATGTTGCAGCCGTGCTGCTGATGGTCTGCTTGGGCTTTTGTGCTTAGGGACCTGCAATGACCTACCAGATGGTGGGAGGTCTGCAGAGCATGGGAAGATGTGAGCTTTCCAGGCTCCAGCTGGTAAATAAGAAGCACGTGAGCTAAAACCCTCAGCTCCACATGTGCCGCGGGGCTGGCTCGGTTCTGCGGTGACTAAATCCCACGCTGAAGATCTGACAAAGCATCTTCGACGACGAATGCTTGGGATCTGGAGCCGCCTGATGAGCGAGCTGCCGCAGTACCCAACACCATTGCCTGACATGCGTTGCCAGGACGGGCAGATTTTGGGGAGGCAGTGGGCAGCATTGTGGCCTCCCGCTCAGGCTGCTTGGCAGCGCTGGTGTTTAGTCTCTTCCACACCCTTTCTCCCACCCCGAGAGTCGCGTGGCTGGTTTTGGCCGCTCTGTCCTACACATCTCAGCACTGGCTCCAGGTGTTCTCCGTGCTAAACAACCGCCATCTGACTCAGCCCCCCTCCCTGCTGTGTGGTAGTATTTGATTTATTTTATATTTTTTAACACCATTGTGAACAAATCCCCAAGCAGTAAAGTCTGTGGGCGTTATTTGAGCAAAATAGCTGGAGGCAGAAAATATTCTACAATTACACATTCCAAAAAACCTGTACAAGGAAAAAAATACTCTGCAGTTAGTGTATTTTTAGGTTCACGGAAAGTGGAATAAATATTTAACAGTAATAACAGCACATTTTTCCTATTTGAGGCACTTTACGAATGTTCGTTATGTCCTACCACGGCCTTGGCTGAGGGTCATTATTAGGATATTGTCCACGTTTGGGACTTCGTTGCCTCTTTTGGCCCTGGGGATGGTAGTCCCTGGTGTTTGGCTGTCTGTGGTGGGTTAGCAGTTGGTCTGTCCCTCCCACACTGAACCCTTCCCCACCCTGTTTGCACTGCTGTGCCTGACCCTGACATCACGGACCATTTCCCCACCCAGGGAAAAGCTCCTGGGAGTTTCCAGGACTGTGACCCAGCACCCACCCAGGGTGGTGTGACTCATCAGTGTGCCTCCAGCACGCTCGGGACCTCCGGGTGCTGTGCGGTGCTTGGATGCTGCCCGTAGCACAGCAGAGGAATGGATGAGGAGCGGTTGGACTAGGTTGATCCCAGGTCCTCCGTGCTCCTGTTTCCATGGCAGCTCGGCCTCTCGCAGCCTTTGCCGCCCACTGCAAATCACTGCCGAGGAGAGGAGAGTCTCCTTCCCCAATGGCTGCTCAGCGCCAGCTCCTCAGCATGCTGGCTGTGCACCAGCGTGTGTTTCCTGGGGTGCTTTTCCATGGGGGATTGCACAGAGAGGGTGGATGTCGGCTGTTTTGGGGGCCAGCTGTGCTGAGAGTGATGGACCTGGGGCAGGATCGGTCCCTGCAGCACAGGGGTATGTGCCCGTGAGCCAAGGTGAACGTGCAGCCACTTCCCTGGCTGGCGAGCTCTTGCCTGAATAACTGAGCCCTTTTTCTCCCTCCTGTAGGTTTTCGGCAATATCAAACTAGATGAAGAAAGCCACATTAACCGGCACAACAACTTCCGCAGCTTCTTGGGCTCCCTCATGCTCCTCTTCAGGTAAGCCACCATAGAAAACTCCTTTCGCAGTGTTTTTGGGTGCAGGCGTGCCAGGAGCCGCGCTGGGCAAGTTCTCACCACAGGCTGTTTGGTGGAGGTCAGCTTTTGGTGCTAGAGAGCAGCTGGGCAACACAGGCCACAGGAGCTCAGGAACTCCTCTTTTTTTTCACCCTGCCCCAAAAAGGATGGCTGTCTCCCAGCTCTTTGGATAGGCTGGCTGGGGGGAGTTGGCCCCGCGTGCCAGGAGCTACACCCTGGCATGGCTGCACTCATGTCGGTCCAGCTTGGTTGCTGCTGACCCAGTGCCTTGCTCCTTTGCATGCCAGAGATGTGCTTAATTCGGGTAGGGGGTTGCGCAGCTTCTTGTGAGGCTTCTCCTGGGGGCATCCTGCTGCAGCTCCATCCCGTGCCACCACGAGCTGCTGAACACGGCTGTGTTGGGTGCAGGAGTGCCACGGGAGAGGCATGGCAGGAGATCATGCTGTCCTGCCTGGAGGGCAAAGGCTGCGAGCCAGACACAACAGCAACATCCGGGCAGAACGAGAACGAGCGCTGTGGCACCGACCTGGCCTACGTTTACTTCGTCTCCTTCATCTTCTTCTGCTCTTTCCTTGTGAGTTCCTCCCCTCTAAGAGCCCTGGGGGTTCCTCTCATCAGCCCCCTAACCTGCACCCCCGCCATAGGGTCATCTGCCATCTTCCATCTTCCCACGATTACCCTTCCTTCTCTCCCTCCCTTCCCTTCTCTGCTCCCTCTCCCCCCACTTTCCTTTCTTTCTGCCTTTTTCCCTTTCACTTAGATGCTCAACCTGTTTGTGGCGGTCATCATGGACAATTTTGAATACCTGACTCGGGATTCCTCCATCCTGGGACCTCACCATCTAGATGAGTTTGTCCGGATCTGGGCAGAGTATGACAGAGCAGCGTGGTATGTAGCCAGCTCCTTCTCTCCCGAGCAACCTCTCAGAGCTGGTTTTAAACAGGCATCCGTGTTCTGCTATTGGAAACCCGCTGCAATGCGTGGGACGGTCAGGGAAGGGCTGCTCGCAGTCGTTACAAGGGCAGCAGCCGGTTCCTACAATGCCTAGTGGCACAGGCGTCTTCCATGATGTTGACGGTTTGCCATGGTGTTTATCCTGAGTGCTGGAGGTTCCTGCTCTTCCTCTCCTCCCCGGCCAGGAGGCAGGTCCCTCTCAGCCTCCTTCCCTGTCCCTGTGTGCCAGCTGGGTGCCTCTGTCCTGAGAACAGCTCCATTGCCTGGTCCCCAGCACCCACAGCTCCCCATCAGAGCAGGGCTGAGCGTGTCTCTGTGGGGAGACACTGGGGGACTGCTGGGCTCCTGCCAGGTCACCTATGGAGGACCTTGTTTGGAGTGTGTTTGATGGGCTTGGGGAATTGTGTTCCTATGCTGGCCAGACCTCTCACCCCTCTAGAGACGGGAGGACTTTGTTTCCTGCACTCATGCCTTTGCTGATGAGGACCCCAGCGAACAGGGCTCCCGTTTGCAGGCAGCAGCCTGTTCCCAGTAATGGGATGGGTTCACAGTGGCTATATATACCCTGGGTGACCAGGCTTTGGCTCTGCTCCTGCTGCTGCTGCAGAGGAGCTGCTCTCCGCCACTCCTCCCAGCATGGTCTGGAGCATCCCTAGGGCAGTGTGGAGCCCTTGGCAGCTCTGGGACCATGTTTGCCCTCCATTCATTCCCAGCTCCATGAGGGCACCTTGTGTGGCCCCATCCTCCCTCCCCTAGCCCAGGGACAGCCTCTTTGGAGCCATGACCCACTACTGTTGTGCCAGGGAGCATGGGCGATCTTAGCTCAAGAGCCTTTGGCAGCCACACGTGCTCCCTTTGGAGACTCTTCACCTCCACTGCTAACGTCCTGCCCCTTGAGAGACCAGCTCCAGCCAAGATATTTTTTTATGCCTAATATCATCAGCTCCTGACATAGTTTCCTCCACCGTTTGTCCAACCCTGTGCAGCTCAGTGCTGGCCAGGTTCCTCCCCACATGGCCTCCTCCAGCATTCTTGCTGCTGTGCAAGGCCCCCGTGAGCAGGTGGGTTTGCTTGTTAGTGGGCGACTGTGCCTTGTGCAAGGGGGAGAGGTCAGCATGGGTGAGTAGATGTCCTGATGGACAGCTAGAGAAGGGAGAGGAGGTGAAAGCAGTGAAACACCCAGCCGCTCAGTGTGGGGCTACTCACCTGTGGCTTTTGGGAAGGATTTCTTCACACCAGGCACTTCATTCACTCTCGCCCCCCATGTTGGCGGCCTGGGTCTCCAGAACAGTCACTGAAAAAGTGCCTGAGCTGTCCTATCGATGCCATGCACCCCTCTGATTTCTGAGCAAGCCGTGCTCTTTCATCGTGATATGTAGCCAATGGTTAGGGGACGTGCACAGGAGCTGGTGGTGCTGGGCCCCTGGGGGCAACCCTGGCCCCCATGGCTGGGTGAGGAATGGGTGAGTACATCTGAACGGTTCCTGAGTGGGGCAGCAGTTCTGCATCCTGACACCAACACCATCACATGAAGGTCTCTCAGGGAGACTGCCCAACACTGGGGGACTCAGGGATGGGTTTTGTCCGGATGGTTGGGTTAGCTCTGGCCAGCGATGGAGAGGGGATGGGAGAAGAGCAAGGAGAAACCAGAGGCAAAGGCACCAGGTAGGACGGTAACGCTGATCTTTGCCTCCTTGTGCGGTTTCCCTCCAACCTTGTCTAAGGATGCCCAGGAGGCTGCAGCATGCTGCACCTCAGCACTTCCACCCCACATGGTCCTGCTTCCTGAAGGGCTCTGCTCTGGAGCAGAGTGGGGAGCTCAGCATCCAATGGCCCCTGCACCTTCTCCTGCCAGCTCTCTGCCTCGACAGCTTCATTATTTCGGCCGGTGCAGGAGGGATACGTGCCATATCCTGCGATGACTCCACCCGGGTTTGGGAAGATGTGCTTTTGTGGGCGAGAAGGGGAGTGTGTATGGGAGGGTTTGCTTCTAATAATGTGTACCCTTGGCAGAGCGTGGTCTCGTGGTCAGAGCACAGGACTGGACCGTGGGAGACCTAGGTGCTAGTGCCAGAGCCACCGGTCACCAGCTGGTCACATTATCTCTCCCCGTCTCAGGTTCCCCAGATATTGGAGATACAAGTGACTCAGCTGCCAACCTCCTTGGGACCTTGTGAGGACTAGAGAGTTGGCCGTGCAAGGGCAGGCTCTCTGGTGGTGTGATGGGACACAACTCCATCAAAAGGGCTCGTGGTGGCTAGAACCCAACCAAGCTGCAGTCTCACCCTGTCTAAAATCCCAGCCCTCTCCCACCAGGTGTAGGCGGCCAGGGGCACGATGAGGAAGGGTGATGGGGTGGTGTTCACCGCCAAAACTGTCCTTCTCCAGGGTCAAGATGGGTCAGTGTGAGGAAGTATGAGCTGACTCATGGTGGGGAAAGCAGTAGCTGATGCTCACAGCTTTCCCCTCTCTGGGTCTGACAGAGCCAGAAGGAGAAGAGCTGTGCACCCCTGGGGGTCTTGCCCCACAGATGGCCCCAGCATCCCCCCATTAAGCTCTCCATCCTCCCCTCCACCCTCTCAGTGTCCTATTAACCCACCTGTGCTTCCTTTGCAGCGGCAGGATCTCGTATAAGGATATGTACAAATTAGTACGGGTGATCTCGCCTCCTCTGGGCCTAGGAGAGAACTGCCCCTACAGGGTGGCGTGCAAGGTTTGCCTCCCAGTCCTCTGCCACAACCTGGCCACGGGACGCACCATCCACCCCTCCTTCCCCCCTGCCCCACCGCCACCGCGCCTCCCGAGGGAACCCTGACGTTGCTTTCCTTCGAGTTTAAAGAGGTCCGCGGCCTCCCAGAGCCAGCAGCTGTCCTCCTCGAGGGGAGGCATGAGTGGGGCCGGGGGGGCTCAGAGCCTCCCGGGGTGGGTTTCGACAAATTGCGTCCCCCAGCCAGCCCCCCGCCCTGGCTCTGTCGGTGCAGAGAGCCCCTGAAGGGTGCCAGGCCAAATGCCACCATCCCTGCTTGGCTTCTCAAAGTGCCCTCACGTGGGAGCAGGAGTTTTTTTGGGGGTTCAGATGTGGTTTACTCCTGGGGAGGGAGGGGGGAGCAAAGGCAGGAGGATGTTGGGGACTTTGCTGTTGTTTTGGAGAGTGAGGACTGGGGGGAGGATGGGGAAGCCAGGGTGACCCCTAACTTTGGGGGACGCTGTGCTGTGCCCAACAGACACTTCTGCAAGTGTGGCACTCAGAGCACACACTACCACCTCTCTGGGGAGCAGGACTTCTGCTAGTCTTGCCCTTGGCTTGCCAGACCTGCTGGGAGGAGGTGGCACCTGGGCACGTCTCTGGACCTCAACAGTTCCTCTTCCTCTGCTTGAGCCGAGCTCCCAGCTGCTGGCTGTGAGTCCACGGCAGTGGTTTGGCCTCCTTGTGTCTCTCTGACTTGCACATCTTTTAAAAATTTTATTTTGGGGTGACAGTTGAGCAAAATCCTGCACCTGCCATCTTCTCCGAAGTGCCACGACACCCATGCCTGTGTTCATGGCGCAAAAGGATGAACCACAGAGTCCGTTCTTCCCTCTGCATCCCTCGCAGCATCTAAGGAGATGTACGAGGGAAGCTCAGATGCCCCCAGACTGTGATCTTGGCTCTGCAGGGGAAGAAGGTTCCTCAGCATGGCATGTTGTAGCCGCCACATCCTCCCTGCCACATCAGAAATGCTTCTTCCAGCCAGCATCCCTGGAGCAGGTCTGTCACCCTCCATGGTTGGTCATGGGGATGATGCACACATTTGAAATCTTGAAGTAGACCACCAGAAGTAAAGCAGAGCAAGCGAGACAAGGCCTTGGTCATCTACTTTATGAAGAGGTGTTTAGGTGTTAGGATTTGCAAGAATCTCAGGTGTCTCATCTATTCAAGAAGGGGCTCCTTGCAGTCTTTCCACTCTTCTCTGTTGCATCCCTGGCAAAGGATGGTGGCTTTGCCAAGGGCACTTGCTCAGGTCCCTGCAGACAGAAGACACATTCAGGAGGAATTCCTAGTCTTTCTCATTTGACATCAGGGCTTCACTGGCAAATGCTGCTCTCCTAAGCTGGATCACCTGGTACTCAGAAAGGTACCTGTAACGCTTCCTGGGAAGAGGGAGCTCTGCAGCAGTCTGGGCTTTCTGCTGACTCGGTGAGATGGACAGAGCAGTGAAGGTAGATAAACTCAAGGGGAGGTGAAGGCAGAGAGAGAGAGAGAGAGACCAGCTTCTGCTGTCATGTGAGGGAGACCATCCCCATCTCTTCCTTGTGTTACTTCAGTCTCCTCCTCCCTGTGCATGGGGTATTTCAAGGACATGAGAGATTTTCAGGGATTCCTACTGCCCTGGAACAATTCCCAGAAGGCAGTTGATGAAGAAAGAAAACCCACATGGTTGTTGCATCTTGCCACCATGGTCCAGATCCCAAAATGCCAACCCAACTTGCTCGCCTTTCAGTTTGGTGAGCCTGCCCTGCACATCACAGCGCACAAGTTCACCTTCCTGGAGCCCACACCCCTATCCTGCCAGGCAATGTGACAATGATGACTTGCAGAAGCAACCACCAATGTGTTTATGGAGTGGTGGACAGCCTGCTCTGGAAGAGATGGTTCTTGGGCAAGTTCAGGATGCAGCATAGTAGTGCAGCATGGTATGGAAGCATACCCACTAGGCTATCTGCAGGTGGGCTAACAAAGGGGCATTGATGCAGGAAGACTTCCCATGGAAGTCCAGCAAACTCTGTCCTTATACTGGGGAGAGCAGGTCTTGTAACCAAATCTTGCTGGGACTGTATCCTGTCAGCCAACCCCGCTTCTTGGGGCTATCTCTACCTTTCTTCACCCTCCCTGCTTCTAGTAGTCATGCAAAAGTGAGCCAAGGCATCACTTTTGCCCCCTAAAAGTAGCCCTTGAGATGGTCATGGGTCAGGTGAATGCTCCACAGACATTCATGTCCCTGTGGACATCTCCTATTCCTGAATCTACTCTCACATCACTTGCTATTCTGGTGCTCTGTTCCTAACAGCCTGGTACAGCACAGTACTTATTTCCTAACCACAAGAGGACAGATGTCCCCCAGATTTCCCCCTCCATCACTCACAGTGTTCTGTCAGAGCACCAGGACCCAGCCATTAGTGCTTGATGGTTTTACAGGCCACCCTGTGCCATAGCCACAGGGCACATCTCCATCCAGACACAGGACAGATGGCCAGCTCTCCCATCAAGGATGCACCCATGATGGGACCAGCTCTTGGGAGCCATCCTGTTCAGATGGATGTCATTCCACGTGCCTTCCTGTGCTTCACTCCATGGGGATGTGGTTTCTGGGCACTGCTGTGCTGCTCAAAACACTTTAAGGTCTCTTCTCTGAGAAGCAGCAAAGTATGCAGCCTGTCTGTGACAACAGACAGTTTGGTCACTGATGCAAACTCTTCCTTTCATGGGAATCCATTCCTCCTTCATTGTGCAGAGAATTTCAGTATGAAAGACAGAGTCTGATGTGTGCTGGGTACACTAAAATCCCCCCTGCCAGGAAGGGTGAGTGGAAGATCACTGTCTTGCTTCCTTTTTGCACAAAGTTCTTGAACATGAAAATTTTGCAGTCATCTTCTCCCCTTCAGACACCTCAAGTCAGTGCACATCCAGCTCTGCCAAGGTGCTGCTTTACGGACTCCTGGACCTGGATATTTCCTGTTGATCATCCCACTTAATAGTCTCCAACGTTGTTATCAATCCTCTTTCCAACGCGTTTAGGTGTGTCAGGTCTCAAAGGGGGATGGCTTGCCCAGCCTTTTCTGTGCCTGCACCCCGAACAGCTCCCATTGTGGGTCATCACCATCCCTAGTTCACATCCAAAATGTCAGGACTAATCTCGGTGGGGGCCTTTTTGGCCAGGGGGCTGCTTCCAAACCAGCCGGTACCCCCTGAGAAGAGGAGATACCTTCTTCTCCCCTTTTCACACTGCTCTCAGCACACGGATAGGGAATTGGCCAGGATCCCACGGGGAGTGCTTAATTTTTTGGCAGTGCCCTCTCTCCCAGGCCACGCTGGCTGAGACGGGTTCCTCTCTAGAAGGATCCTCCCAGCCCAGCGGTAATGGTCGATGCCTTTGCTGTTGTGAGATTGCCCTTGCCCATTAACCATCCTGAATGTTGCAGTGCAGGTTGGAAGCCTGGCACAAGGGGAAGAAGAGGAGGCTGAGCCCAGAATCCCTGGGAGAGATGTACTTGAATGGCCTCCTGGATGTGCAGAGAGAAGGAGGCACAGCCCAGATATCTCAGCCTGGCAGAGGGCTCAAGGCATCCTCGGATGGCCCGTTTTTGGTAGCGTTCCTCACTGCAGCAACCCTAGGCAGGTCCTTACAGAGCAGAGGAGCACAAGGTGGGGGTCCGTCCTAGCCGCCTCCCTTGGGAAACCCAAACAAACCCCAATGTTGGAAGGCCCGAACAGCTGCCTCTGCTGAGACTCTTTAAACTCCAACCTGGTGGAACTTGCAGCCGCATGTGGGAGAGAGCCAGGGTGGGAGCATGGCATGTACAACTTTTCCTCCCGGTTTTGTTTTTTCAGCCAATTCAGCATGCCTTTTGCACTGGTGCATGGTGGGAAAGTGGTCCATCCGCAGAGCCAGACAGAAGCAACTGGGCATCTTCCTTTGACAAGTGACCCTGGCCCACTGCCTTCTATGCAAGATGCTGCCTCCCAATTGCATAGACCTTATGAGCTGGGGATACACAGCCTTCTGGCTATGGGTTAGGTGGCGATGCAAAGCAATACCCAGGCCCCCCCCCGGGAGGGAAGACGCTACGGAGGCCACAGAGCACTGTGGTGCAAACCACCATTATCTCAAATAACCCATGGCTTGAGTGCCGTGTATCTGATTTATACCACTCGCACACAGCCCTGGAACCTGTGGGACAAGTTTGGGGGCAGCTGGAGGGCTTTAGGAAAGGGGTTGAGACCAGAGAAGGACTCCCAGACTGCTAGTGAGACAGGCGCTTGAGGCCAGCAGCAGAGATGAGAGGGGTGAGTTGCTTTCTGCCAGTATTCCTGGGCCTGTGTGAGCAGTGCTATAAATCCACATCAGGACAGTCTCTCATGTATGATTTGCCTTGATTAACGGGTTTCCTGTTTTTTTCCTGTTTGTCCGTTTGTTTTTTCTCTCCTGTTTTCCTGTACTATTTTTGTTTGTACGTTTTTCTGCTCTCTGGGAATGCCTCCTCTCTCTCTGCATCTCCCTCCCTCCCCTTCCCCCTTCATGAGCAGTGGCCGAATCCATTACACTGAGATGTATGAAATGCTGACTCTTATGTCACCACCGCTAGGCCTCGGCAAGAGATGTCCTTCCAAAGTGGCCTATAAGGTAGATCAACCCTTCCTTCTACGGGGGCTAGAGCTGAGCAGGAGCTGGGGCTCGAGGGAGCTGTGGGAGGTGGGGCTGGGGGGAGCCGGGGAGGCATTGGGGGTATCCAACGTGTTTAGCTTGCTCCTGGGGAGCCTGGTGTGCTCAAAAGAGTCCTGGCCACACTGGATGGTCTCCACTGCCCACGCACATGATGCTGCCGTGGTCACTCACAAGCCCGAGGAGCTCTGGGGTGGAAGACCCCAGTGGAAGAGGAGGGGCAGGATCAGCAATAGTGCGGAAGTGGGAGCGTTGGAGAAGATGAGGTGAAGAGCAACCCCGTAGCACAGTTGGGAGGGTGGGGTGTCCCCAGGAGCTCACTGGCCCAAGCTCGTCCCCTGGGCTTGGAACCATCTTTGTCCCAGCCAGCACAGAAACAGGGCTAAAACCCATGGAAATGGGAAGCAGGTGGGCAGCAAGGACATATCCTGAAGGAGCAGCTCTGCAGTTCGTGAAGAGCCAGGTGCATTGGCACGAGCTATCCCAAGGATGGCTTGTGCAAGGCAAAGCCAGGTGCCTTCAGAAGCAGCTCTGAGTTTACCCCCCTTGCTCCTCCTGGGGTGGTGGCCGGCAGTTGACTCACGGCACAGGCACAGCGTGCTCCCAGCTGCCTAGGCATGGAGCAGGAGCATGGGAAGCCCTGAAGGACATGGAGTGGGAGCTGTGTGGCTTTGCTGAGGGCAGCAGCTGCTAGGACAAGACCCAGAGCTAGAGAGCAATGTGTTGTCTAGGTCTGGAGCAAACTGAAGCTTTCATTGGCCACGGGCTGCTGCCTGCATCTCTTTCAGCAGCATTCAGGGCTAGTGAAGGGGGGATTTCTGTATACTTGCAAACGCACTGCCACCCTCTCCAGCTCTCATGTGTTTGTTCACGTATGCATACCTCCACCATCGCACTTTTCAAGGAGAAAAAGGGAGTCTTGAAGGCAGGGAAAGGACCTGAGAAGCCGGGGGAAAAGGAATGGGCAGGGAAGGGATGACCCAAGGTATTCACAAAGCAAAATATACTCTCTGGAAAGTGGATCTGGCCACTTCAGTTTGCACCCCGCCTGCCCAGGGTGGGGAAGGAGCATGGCGTGTCTAACCTGCCTTGGTTGCCCTTCTCTCTTTCCTTCTGCACTTTTTCTACCCCTCCTTCCCTTCCCCACCCTTGGATAATTTGGACCCTGTGCATGTGCTGGCAAACTTCATCTCTGAAAGACGCAAAAAGGGAGCGCCAGGATGTAGCATGCTAGAGGAATCCAGCCGATCTGAAGTCCCTAAAGGTTAGGGACACTCCTCTCCCCTGCCCCAGGTGGGAAGGGTTGAGAGCCGGAAAGTCGAACCACCCAGGAACGGAAACCTGAGCCCCCTCTCCCCTTCCCGAGCATTCCCCACACCTGCATCCCTGACGGATCAGGCATGTCTTCCCAAAAGTGCCGGGAGGTGCCGTGGCAGCCCTGGTGCCGTGGGGAGGGGGGCTCAGGAGCCGTTCCTGAGGCACAGGAGTAACCCTGGAAGGCAGTGAGCCGGTGTCCTGGGGTGGAAGGAGCCAGGGGGGTGGCGGGGTGATCCTTGCCCTTCTTTTTTGGCTGTGCTGTTTTGACACTCTTTGTTGCTTTTTATTTTTTAATTTTAATTTTTTTCCCTTTTGTTTAATGTTTAATTTCTTTTCCTCCAGCCTGGTCGATGTGTTTTTCGATATTGTTTTCCGTCCGCTGTTTTCTTCTCTCTCTTGCGCAGAGACTGGTGCTGATGAACATGCCTGTGGCCGAGGACATGACGGTCCATTTTACCTCCACCTTGATGGCGCTGATACGCACGGCCTTGGACATCAAAATTGCAAAAGGTAAGGTCGGTGGGGTAGAGAGGGGACAGAGCTAGGAGGGTTTCAGAGTGACCAGCACTCATCCTTTGGGCAGGCTGAGGACATCACAGCCAAATTGGGGTTGGCTGCCCAGAGCCTGGCATGTGGATGGAAGTGATTACCTTGAACAGGCAAATTTCTGCTGCTCTCTATAAAAAATCTATTTCTTTAGGGAAGAGGTGGCCAGTTTTCCACTAGAAGCTGCTTCTAGAGAGCAGAAACAGCTTGATGTCCACCGTGTAAAGGGGGAGAGAGAATTCCCCTTCCTCCCCATGTACAAAACCAAACCAAGGAGGGAAAAGATCACATGTGCTTGGTTTCCTAAGGCTGGGAAACAGAAATCTCTCTCTCAGGGAAGATAAAATGTTCAGAGCAGGAAAACCTGCTTTGTTGTTGTTGCTGGAACGCTCTGATTCATCAGATCAAAAGCTTTCTGCAGAAACATGCCATTTTCAATGAAATGTCCCCTGGGAACAGCTCAGCTGTTGGAGAACAGAGAACCCAACCCAGGGCAAGATATCAGCAAAAGCCCAGTGCTGAGACAGCTCCTTGGGTTCGAGCCCCTCTAGATAAAGCAGAGATTTGAACCTGGGTCTCCTACAGCTCGGCAGAGTTGCCCTGGGCTCGGGTGTCTCCGGTTGGCGCATATTGACAGCTCCCTTTGAGCCTGGGTCTTCCTAAGCTCAGCAAATCTCTTCACCGCTGGCCAGAGCGCTCTGCTCTTGCACAGCATCGCCGAGTATTTAAGGATTTCAACCAAGTGGAGCTGCTCTTTCACATGATCTGCTCACCAGAAAAGAGAAAGTGGGGCAGCAGCAGGTGTGTGTGGGCTGGAGTAGGATTGGAGCCGCAGAGACGGACCCAAGGCGAGCTTGAAGATGGCAGCTTTGAGTGGGAGGGTAGGGGATGGGTTGATGGAGGCACATATGGAAGGGATGGTAGGAAAGTTTCCCTGCAAGAGTAGGAGACCAGGCTTGGTGGTGCAAGATGGCCCTCCCAGCCCAGAGAGCTGGTTGCTGCTTGTGAACCTCACTGCAGGATGGGAAAGGGGTGTTTTTAGTTGGACCCTGGTGCCAGGTCTTGATGTACGTGGGCCATGTTTTTTCCCCGCTGTTCAAGGTGGTGCAGATTGGCAGCAGTTAGACTCTGAGCTTCAAAAGGAGATCCTGACCATTTGGCCTCACCTGTCCCAGAAGATGCTTGACCTGTTGGTACCCATGCCAAAAAGTGAGTCTCTGCAGGGGCTGTCATCGCTGCCAAATTCCCGTCATACCTGCAGCAACTTCTTCCCAAAGGGAGGTGGGGACTGGTCAGACCTGTCCCCAGCTGGGGGGAGAAGTGGGAAAAGGGTTTGTGTTGCTACAGGCTGGCTTCTGCCTTCCTCTGCCTGGCTGCTTGGGAACCCTCTTGAAAAACGCCCAGTTTGCAGGGATCTACTCCTGCCAAACCCAGTCTCCTGTAAATCATCCCTGGAGCATACAAGGGCAGGACGCTGAGCATCGCTTGCTCCGTTACGTATGATGATGTGATGAAGATATGTGTCTTGGTGGTTTATGATGATGCTTTCAAGCCACCTCCATCCATTTTATCTCCACGCGGAGTGTCTGGGTGTTCATCTCTCTCTCTTTTGGAGCGGTGAGCAGAGTTTGAGGGTCACCAGGGTATCCCATAGCAGGGCTTGTCCCGAGATCCGCGCTGGTGCCTTCAGACCTGCTGTTTCTGTTAACACAGAAGTGTCCCCACTTTGTTCCCTCTTATGCTCTCAGCCTCTGACCTGACTGTTGGCAAAATATACGCAGCCATGATGATCATGGATTACTACAAGCAGAGCAAAGCGAAGAAGCAGCGGCAGCAGCTGGAGGAGCAGGTGAGGCTCAGCAAGGGCACGTAGTGGGCAGGACAGGGATGTTCAGAGCACCCTCGCTGCTTCCTACCACGTCCCAACCAAATGTGTAGCCAGCTGCATGGGATGCAGCTGAGGGATGAAGATGGTGGTACAGGTTGGGGGTTTGGTGACTACAAGGCATGCATACGTGCATCCTCAGTCCCCAACAGTGAACATGAGCACGCTGTCGCCTTCCCAAGCGGTGGGGCTTGGCTGGTGAAGCACTGGATGTTCATCTGCATTTCCTACAGGCTCAGCTTCTTCCTTTCTTCAATACAGAAAAACGCCCCCATGTTCCAGCGCATGGAGCCATCCTCCTTGCCACAGGAAATCATCTCGAACGCGAAGGCTCTGCCTTACCTCCAGCAGGACACCCTCTCAGGCCTGTGAGTATTGCCCTGAGAAGAAGGGAGGTATTCCTGTCACTTTTCTGTTTCTGCAGCCCTCGTTTTGTTCTCTGGAGCTGGCACTGGGATGCACAGAGGGTTAAAGAGCTGCCAAGAGCAGGGGAAACCCAGTCCAGGGCAGAAAGCTCCTGGCACAAAGCTTTTGCAGGATCCCATGTAGCTGGTGTGTGTCAGCATCACCAACAGCAGCGGAGGTGGCCAAGAGGGATGTCCAGGTGTCTGCATGGATGCTCTTCTTGCAGGACCATCCCGGCACTAAGTGCAAATTCTCTTACCTAGGAGGGTCTGGGATGGACCTGAACCTCAAGAGCAGTTGAGCAGCAGGTTCCTGGGTGCTGCAGGGTCAGTGGGGGATCCCAGAACCCTGGCTGGTGGGAATGAGATGGTGGGAGTTGCTGGCACTGCACTTGGGATGTCCCACTGCTGCCGTGGGACCTGGGACACTGGTGTCCTCACCTGCTCGGGCACCACTTCAGCTGTCCAAGAAACAACGTTTGCCCTGGAGGTCTCAGCCTTGACAGCCTGGGGGGCAAGCACAGGGGCTCCCCAGCTCTGAGCCACTGGAGAGGCGATACTCAGCGATGGCAGCAACCGGCTTGTGGCCTCCCTGAAGCTGGACCATCTTTGCAGGAGCAGCCGGAGCGGGTTCCCCTCGCTGAGCCCACTCTCACCACAGGAGATCTTCCAGCTGGCGTGCATGGATCCAGCCCACGGGCAGTTCCAGGAGCACCAGTCTCTGGTAAAGTCACATACTGCCTGGTGGGCACTCACCTGCGGTCCCAGCGAAAATGCTGGTGGGCACAGGGAGGTGTGGGGTTGCCGGCACAGTGGTGAAATGCTGCTCCCTGCCCCTGTGGCAGCGAGCACAGCAGAGGGATGGCAGCTGCGGGGTCACACACAGATCTGAGCAGGGGACAAACGTCCCTGGGTATCCCCCAGCTGGGCCTCTGGCCCCTCGTCTCTGTCCAGGTGCTGGGGATGTAGTCATCCCTGGACCAGCCCTGGCTGGTGGGGCCAGGCAGCAGCAAGTGCTTTGGGGGCGAGAGCTGTGACCGGGGTCCAACGTCCTGCAGTAAAATATCCTTCTCTTCACAGGCTGCTCTTTTTTCCACTGAGTGCTCATTTCAGTGGGTTACCCCATGCTGAGTGATGGTATCTGATGTTTTCAGATTCACGTTCATTTTGTTGTCAGTGCTGGTGTCCCTAATCCCAAACCGAGCTGTCAAACTGCCTCCAATGGCAGCACACCCCTCCGGCTTCACACACATGATGGCCGGCAGCAGCAGTGTCTGTCTGTGTGTGTGTGTATATATATATATACATATCTATATATCTCTCTCTCCATGTCTGTGTGTGTGCATTCGCGCACCACCCTGACGCTTGTCGGATGCAGTGTTGTACCACTGTGCATCTCCAGCCCGGTCCGTGTCCCCGGGGTCTGTAGTACTCTGTGTGAGCTGTGTACCGTGCAGGCAGGCGTCCCCTGCCCCAGCCACCCTGACCATGCCACCGTCCTACCGGCGGGGAGGTGGCAGATGAGGCTCCCTCCTCCCCATAAAGTCACCTTCTAGCAGATCTCCAGGGTCACGCCCTGCCCATCTCCTTGACACCACATCCTGTACAAAAGAGTCCCCTAAATCAGGAATTAACCAAAGTGCAAAGGTGCCATGGTCGGCATGCTTTCTTTTAATGGGGATGTGGCCAGAAGGCCTTTAAGGCAGGGTCAGAGAGAAAATCCCCTACGTTTGTCCCCTTCTGGCACAAGGAGGAGGAGTTAAAGCCTGGGCAGTCAGGGCATCCCCAGATCTAGGCAGGGTTTCCACTGCCACTGAAGACGTGCAAGATGAATTGGCCATCAGGCAGGCCTGAAGCACCACATCTGGGCTCACCTGCAATGGATTGTGAATCGTAGATTATTTTTCAGTAGCGACATGACGGATGATATGTCTTAGACTCCCTTTTTGGCCCCACTTAAATTCTGCCCCTGGTTGAGCGAGCAGGGCTGCCCTCTGCAAATGGGGCAGAAGCAGTGCGCTGCCCTGCTCCAACCCCATCCCAAGAGCTTGGCTGTGTGTTTATTTCCAGGAGCCAGAGGTTAGGGAGTTTCAAAGAGTGCAGCCCTCTAACCGTGGCAGCTGCCTTCCCGTGGACACTCAGGACCACGCTGTCTCTGGGAGGGCCTCCTCCATGCCTCGTCTCACTGTGGATCCCCAGGTAAAACCAAGAAAAGCCCCCACGGGTGCCGGGTCCAAGCAAAGCCTACCAGGTAACACTGGGGCTTCTCTCCGCGCTGAGCAAGTCCCGTGGCTTCCCCAGTGCCTCAACATCGGAGCATCTCCCCACCTTTGGGGTGCTGCACAAGTAGGAGAGCTGCTGTTCCCCTACATGGGGGACACCATCAGCAGAGAGCAGCCAGGGGAATTGATCTCCTGGCTCATGTGGGAGGTCCACGGTGGAGCAGGGCCACGCCAGGAGGTTGCAGGGTCCCCCCACGATGGGACACCCCTCCTTTCCTCCAGCCCCGGGCACTGGCTGAGGTTCGAGGAGTACCAGCCCAGCTGTCAGATGATCTCCCAAGTGATGAAACACCTTTTCCTTCCTTTCCCATTGTCCCAACATACACGCTTCTCTGTCTGTCCAGGGGAACCCAGGCCACATCTCACCTTCTCATTTGTCTGCCCAGTTTCTCTGTTGTTCTGTCTTGTACTCAGCCTCCACTGAGACACAGATGCTCTTATGGGATTCGGTTTTGCTGTGAAGTCTCTGGGTCTGCTTTCTCACAGAGGTCTTGGTGTCGGTGCTGGTGTGACATGTCATGGCACTGTGGGGGGACGTGAAGAGGAAGGGAGGCTTTGCCTTGTGGGCTTTATTGACCATTTGGCAGCAGGGGAGATGATCAGAAGGAGAGGATGGGAGCAGAAAGGATATGGTGAGGGGAGAGGAGACAGGGAGAATGGCCTGAGGCTGCAGAGGCAAAAAGCTGCTAGAATAAAGTGAAGGAAAATATAGAAGGAGGTGATGTTTTCCACAAAACATGTGAGAACACAGCTAGAAGGAGGGGAGAAGGTAGAACGGAGAAGCATGGGAGAGAGAAAGAAAAGGAGAAGAAAGGTAAAACAACAGTGTGAGCGGGGAGAGAGGGAATGAGTGCAGGGGATGGGGATGCAGGAATAAATGAGGAACCAAGGAGGGGTCTGGAAAAGTGGCAGCAGCCGGGAAAATAAACACCGAGCGAGGGGCACTGGAGAATCCCCTTTCTGTCAATGATTTCTTCTTCGATGTCTCTGTTTGCTCCGCCTGAACCTGTTTTCAAGGCGGGGAGGGATGCTGAGATGGCCTGGGGGGGCAATGGCCTGGTACCCTCCGTGTCCCCACGCCTGGGGCGGGATGCTGCTGTTCTTCCCCCGACATGCTGCGCCTTGGCTTGAACCATAGTTGCTGATTTGCCTGTGGAGCACAGTTCCCAGCCAGCTGGGGCAGGGGAGCTCACAAGCACAAAAGCTAAATCCCACTTTCCTCCTGCCCCTGATTTGCACAGAGATTATTTGGGGGGCTGTCCTCAGGCTGGCCGCCCCCCCCCACCCCGAATCTCCTCATCCCAGAGGTTGGTGTGCCAGTGATAATGGGTGAACCATTGCTCGACCGCAGTCCCCCCCAGCCCTGCGTGGCGCTAACGCCATCCCCGGCTGGCCGGGGTTGCTTGCAGGTGGTGACGGACACCAGCTCAATGCGGCGATCGTTTTCCACCATCCGGGACAAGCGCACCAACAGCTCCTGGCTGGATGAGTTCTCCATGGAGCGCAGCAGTGACAACACCTACAAGTCCCGCCGGCGCAGCTACCACTCCTCGCTCCAGCTCTCTGCCCGGCGCCTCAACGCCGACTCGGGTGAGCAAGGGTGGGTGGCCCCATCCCACACCAATGCCAAAAAACCCCTCAGCCGAGCATCCCCTGCTCCTGGGGAGGGTACAGTGGGGACTGACGGGGATGTGCTGCAGGCCACCGGTCCGACGGGCATCGCTCAGGTGGCAGGGAGCGGGGCCGATCCAAAGAGCGCAAGCACTTGCTGTCCCCTGATATCTCCCGCTGCAACTCTGAGGAGAGGAGTCCCCAGGCGCATGACGAGTCGCCAGAGCGGCGGCGCGAGTCCCGGTCACCCAGCGAGGGCAGGTCGCAGACACCCAACAGGCAGGTGGGTGACAAAAACCCCTTCCTAAGCACAAAGGGAGGCATAGAAAAAGCTCCTTGCCAAAACCAGGAAGATAAGCCCCAACTCCGGGAGCTCTGCGCTGTCTCTCCTCCCTACGGTGGCATCTCCCTGTTCCCCTTGAGCTGAGCAGGCTGGGGCTGCTCTAGCACCCTGCAGAGCATTTGGGGAGAGGGGTGGATCTCCACACTGATCCTCTCACCACTGTGGCATCCGTTCCCTGCCAAGGTCAAAGTGTCCCAGATACACAAGCCTGGAGATGCCAGTGCTTGAGTGTGCTTGAAGCCCACGGAGATGCTACCTGTAGAGACCAGCAGCTGGCGAGCCGTTAGCTCTTTCTGCAACGGGTTTGCAGGTGCTTTTTACTTTTGCCCACCAAGAGCATACACCATCCTCATCCCTGGAGCAGACCCCGAGGCAGGGATGGGGCAGGCAAGGGTGCAGCGGGGCTTCATCCAAGTGGGAGGATGCTCCGGGGAGCCCAGGCTCGGGGTGGGAGGGAGTGGGTGCATGGCGCTGCCCATCGCCCCTGTATTCCCCAGCATGTCTTGGTGCATTGCAGGGAACGGGCTCCCTGAGTGAAAGCTCCATCCCCTCCATCTCGGACACCAGCACCCCCCGGCGAGGCCGCCGCCAGCTCCCACCGGTGCCCCCCAAGCCACGTCCCCTCCTCTCCTACGCCTCCATGCTGCGGCACACCGGAGACGCCTCGCTGCCCGCCGAGGAGAGCGAGGGGGGGTCCCCGCTCCTCTCCACCCTGGAGCCCAACGCTGCTGGCCTGACCGAGTCTTCCAGCTCCCCAGTGGGGAAGCAGAGCCGACAGTCCACCCCGCAACGCTACATCTCGGAGCCCTACCTGGCCCTGCACGACGACTCGCACGCCTCAGACTGCGGTGAGGAGGAGACACTCACCTTCGAGGCGGCCGTCGCCACCAGCCTCGGCCGCTCCAACACCATCGGCTCAGCCCCACCGCTGCGGCACAGCTGGCAGATGCCCAATGGGCACTACCGGCGGCGGAGGCGAGGGGCAGGGCAGGGTGTGATGTGCGGGGCCAGCATCGACGTGCTCAGCGACACCGAGGAAGATGACAAGTGCTAGAAGCTGCCCCCTGCCCCGTCTCAGCTCCCCCCTGCCCCGCCGCCGCCCTGCCCCTCTCCAATGCATGCTCTTCGCCACGCCTGGGAATGAAACAAAACCAAAACCAAATGCAGGGGAAAAGGAGAAAACCAAACCGACCGGAACAGAGGGGGGAAAAAAAAGAAAAAAAAAAAGTCTTTGTGCAAAAAAAAAATTAAAATCTGTCGACTTTCATTTATTACTATCACTTTTTTTTTCTGCACAGAGAAGTATTTGATGGGCGGCGGAGCGGCCTGGCCAGGCACACGTGCTGGGGGGTGAGTGAGAGCCCCCCCAACCGTGGCCCCACTCCCTGCCCTGAGCGGGACCCCCGGGAAGGCTCATCCCGATGGTTTTCTGCTCCCTGAGGCTGGAGAGTCCTAGTGAGGGGGTACCATGGGCCCCCTTTGCTCTGTCACTCGGGTTTGTGCTGCTGTGGCTTTGAATTTCCCTCCCCAAGGGTGTCATCCAGCCCAGAAAAGGGGTGAGGTGTGATGGCGGGGTGTGGGGAGCCGAGGGGTCAGGGTGAACCAGGCAGACCGGAGAGGCTCTGTCTGCTGGGGGAGCAGGGCGGGGGGGCTCAGTGCTGCTGAATGTATCCTGTCTCCCACCGACATATGTTTGTTTATATACGGAGAACTCTAGGTGTGCCTGTGTGTGTATATACGGTATGTGTGTGTATATATATTTATATGCTGTATATATAAAGATATACACATACATGGATTTGTTTTAGTCATCTGACAATGCTGGGGAGCCCCTTGGGATTTTTACTGCCTGCACCCCATTTGGCAGGGGCAGGACCAAGCCTCCACAGGAGCTGCTGCGCACCCGTCACTGTAGTAGAGCATTGGGAACATCACCCCGCTCCCCTTGCCCCGTCCCAGATGTTTCCAGTGGTGGGAATTGCATTTTCTTCATTAGAGGTGGCCATGGCGAGGGGTCTTTGGGCAGCTCGGCTGCCGGCTGTGCCGTGTGGTGCCTGCAGCAGTGGGATGCCGAAGGGACGAGGACAGGGCTGTCCCTTGGGGGTATGGCTCGCTTGGCGCCAGTGGTGCCGAGGGGGTGATGGCAAACCTCTCAGAGGCCTCTTTGCTGTGTTTTCCCAGGAAAAGAAGATTCCCATGTCCACAGGGGAGAGAAGATGTTGTGCATGTGTGACGGTACCCTAAGATCTGTCCTCCAGGCAGAGGAAGCCTGGCTTCAGCACCTCCCCTGCCTCAGTTTCCCCTGCAGCCATGGCCCCTGCCTGCTCCCGGGGCCTGGCACCACCTTCAGAGGGGGGCTGCCATGGGGGTGGCTGGGTTTGCAAACCCCATGGCCCCGGTGCGGGGGCAGGTGGGTGTCTGAGAGCTGGCCGGCGGGGCTTTGGGAGAGGAGCGTGGTCCGGGGGGTGAGCAGGGTGGTTTGCGCCTCCTGCAAATACTGAAAATGCAGTATAGGGCCACCTTCCAGCACTGGTCATTTAATTAATCTGGTAATTATGTGCTGTCAGCACTAACGATCTGCGTGCACCCTCGGCTGCAGGGGCAATGCTTTGCCTGCCAGCCCAGGGAGATGCTGGTGGCCTTGTGGTGATGGGTGGCTCACCCTGGTGATCACCAGTGTGTTTCTGCTGTGAGTTGCGTCTGTCATCAGCCCGAGCGTGGTCCTGGGGAGCTGGAGGGTGCTGTGCCTTTGGAGCCTCAGGGAAGGGCTTGCTCCGTGGGCTGGGGGTCTGGTCAGTGTGGTTGGACCAGGCATGGCCATGCGTGTGGAGATGGGGCGTGGCCTTCAGCCGGCTGGGCTGGGTGGGGGGAGGCAGCACAGCCCTCATCCTGCCCTTCCTCCTGCCTATGGCTTTGCTCTGCTGTGGGTTGTTGTGGTCCGGGTCCTTGGGGCTGTTCTCCAGTCCCTCTGGCTGGCCAAGCCGCAGCTCTGGCCAGGCTTTGCTTTGGTCCTGGATAACCCATGTCTTCTCCTGACCAAAAGATGCTATGGGCACAAACTGCCCTGCTCCTGCATGTGCAGAACAGCCCCTGCCCCGATCACTTTGTGAGCTCCCCCAGAGGAGCTCTGCTTTGTGAGAAGCAAATCCCACCAGCTCCGAAGGCTGCCCGCTCCTGGGCTCGGTCATGGACCAAACCCCCTCTTTCTAATGATCAAGCTGCCCTCTGTGCACCCAAGGAGCAGGTTTCGCTTATGGGGCCAAAGCCTCCTACTGCCTTGATTGGTCCCTGCCGGTGGGTGGCACCTCTGCTGTCCCTGCTCGCCCCGTGCTTCCTGAACAGCCACTTCCAGCTGCCAAAGGATCCAAAAATTCCCCAGGAAGCCCTCTCCATTGCTCTGGCTCAGGTCCTGCATCCCCTATCTTGGTGCTTGGGGGCAAGCCATGCCCCATGCAGCTGTGGGGAAGGTCCCTGGTGCTGGCTGGTTGCATGGGCATCTCCTGTCCCCTTCTGGGCATCGCCTGTCCCCCCTTCCAGCCATCTGTGAGCAGTTGGTGGCTTCAACCTGAAGCTGCTGGAGCATTGCTCCCTGTGCTGGAGTTTGGGGGAGCCAGGCCTGACGGGCAGCATGGGACCGCATGGAGGCTGGGGCCAGGGATGCAGTGGTGCTGGGGCCGGGGGAGGCGATGCTGTACGTGCTCTAAATATAGGTGCTGGCATCGTCTACTTCTAAATGCAGAAAGGTGTCTGACAATACGCTGGGCTCTGAGTAACAGCCCGCGGGGAGGGGAGGAGGTGGCTTTTTGTGTCTGTGCCTATTGGGTGGGAGTCCTCAGCCCCAGAATGGGGCTGGCAAGCAGTGTGCGGCAATCCTCTGCAGTGGTGGTACGGGCTGGGGCAGAGCCCCACACGTGCACCCACATGTGGCAGTGGGCTGCAGCGTCCGAACCTGAGCTTTTTGGCATGTAAAACCTGTGTTTTACTAACGTACAGAAACTGAAGCAAACCAGAGCCCCTTTTTTCCCAAGGGGGGCCCAAATATGGCCTGCTCCTGTCTTTCCTGCAATAGCCGCAGTCCTGCTCCCGCGGTGGGAGGGCAGGCAGGGACCCGTGGGGGCAAGGTGGCACCTCCAAAATACGTCTCCGAAACCAAAAACAACCCCCAGGAGAACCACGGAAAAGACTATGCTGAGGGGGAAGGAAAAACAGCCCCGCGGCACCATTGCAGCCTGTGTCTCACTTTTCAAGGTGCTGGACTCACTTTGCTGCTGTACGATCTCTCATCCGTGGCTTTTTGGACATCTCCTTTGCCTCCCGGACACCGGGGATCTGCCACTGCGCTCGCCGTCAGTGGCTGCTGGCCATGCTTGACCATGGGAGGGAGAATGAGAAAGCGGGGGGATGTGTTTCAACCTTTGCCTGCATGGGACAAGACCCTGCCCAGGCAGGAATTCACCAGTAGCATGCAACTGGATCCCAGTTTGGTGCTGGGATTGGGCTCAAAGCCCTGCAAAGCTCCTGGAGGGACAGCAGAAGGTGCGCGGGGAGATGAGGCAGCCCCGGAGCATGGAGCCCCACTGTCCCCTCCAGACTGGCTGTCCCAGCCCCATCCTCCTGTCCCCCCATGAGGCCTCGGAGGGCAGAGCCCGCCGGTGTGGGGCTGGCGGCTCCTGGGGATGAGGGAGGGTGGGTGGGATATGCTCTGCCTTCATCCCCCAGGCACTGGGGTGGGATGTTGTAATATAACATGCTCGTTTGGACCCAAACAGGGAACCGAACTGACTGACGGCGATGTACAACTTCAATGTTTTTTGTCAAAAGGAAAGAAAAATAAAACCTTGTTGTAAAGAACCACTGTGGACCTCGTATCGTTGGCACCCCACCACACTGGCGGGGCTGTAGGAACCACGGGTGAGATGCTGGACCCCGGCAAAAGGTCCCCATGGCAGGGAGGGGGTGGCACACAGACTGTGCTGGACAGCCCCATCATGCGGGATGGGGTGTTGCCCAGCGTGGGCACAGGGGCCATCCCCTGCCAGTGCTGCCCTGGCATCCCTATGGTCCCCAGGCAGGGTAGGGGGCTACGAAGGAGAGAGGCAGGGAGCACATTTGGGAAGGGTTGTCACCCCAGGGGAGCTGTGGCTCATGCCTGGCTGCTTCCAGACACGCCAGCTGGGGGGCACTGTACAACTGGTTTGTACACCACCAGGGGTTTGGGGGCACTGGGGGGACCAGGGCCAAGACCCTGCAGAGCTGTTTTAACAGCAGCACTGCAGTAAACTGGCCAGGGGAAGCTGAGAGCATCGCGGTGACATCGTATCGCTGGAGAAATGCAAGGGAGCACCAGCCTGTAAACCAAGGGCTTGGAAAACCTGCTGGGATCCGGGGCTTTGGGGGATTCAAACAGCTTGGCCACCCCTCCACACCTGTGCCCAGGAGATGTCAAGTGGATTCAGATGCTGTTGCCCAGTCTGAAGCTCACGGGTGAGTTGTCAAGCAAAGATGATGAAGTCAGGTCTTATATTTCTTTTTTGCAGAGCTGTTCAAAGCACAAAAAGTTCTTCGGCGGTCAGAGGCGAGTCAGCAGCCTGTGGCAGTCTGCAGGCTGAGCACGGGTGACAGGGATATTTTATGGCTTTTCAACAGGACTCTTCTTTTTCTTTCCCAGTGATGGGAGGGTGCTGTGCCAAGAAGAGCTCAGGGAAGGATGAAGGCAATTGCTCTGCTCATCTGGACCACTTTGAGCCGAGCTTAACCCTGTGTGTCTCCCACGCGCTGCTGCCCTTCTCTGCATGGTGCCACCGAGGACCAAGCCCAAACGTCGTGACCTATAGGAACTGGCTTTATGTTGCCCTTCACTTTGTGCATCTTTCCCTTTACTTCCCAAATGCTGTCAGGTTTGGTTTTCAATTCTTTGGCTCATGAAGTGCTAAAAAGCATGTTTTCAGCGGGAAGTGTACAGTTCCATAGGGATATCACCCAGGAGATGGCCCAGCTTTGAAGGCACTTGCCCAGGCGATGGATGCAGTGACAGCAGGGACTGGAGGTAAAGCC